TTCTGCCTGGAGATTCTGGGGACAGAACTTGGGACCATCTGTGTGCAAAACATGCTTTCATCTTCAAAGTGTAAAAAGGAATATTTCTGTTTCAAAGAAATCAAATGCTACCTTACCATCTGCAGGAGAGTTCCTGTAAATAATATAATTAAAAACTAATGAAGCACTAGACATGCAAATGTTTCAGTCTCTTGCTTTGACTGTTTTTACTCCAAAAATATACAGACAAACTAGATCTCATAATGCCATAACTTCAGAATATCACAGAACAACTGATTGAGCCCACTGGGATATCAGATGAAGGGGTTCTACTTTGTTGATCCGCAACATAAATGCATATATTTATGATAGAAGGAAAAAAAGAGATAGAAGGAGGGGGGAAAAAAACCCTCCCCTATCATTTTAACATTTGCCCAAACCCATGAAAGAAAACAGATTTCTGTTTTCTCCCAATTATTTGTGGGCCTCTCCACTTATAAATATTCATATCATTTTATCATTTATCAGTGTTGTAATGAACAACATTGATTTGCCTTGGGCTACATTTCTGGCAAATGTTAGTGAAAACATGAACGTAAGTATTGTACAGAGCATTATCAGAAGGAACAATGATGCTCCATCCCAGCATTTATTATCAGTTTTCTATATAGTACCAGGAAAGTGCTAAGTCAAGGTTGAGGACAATAAGTTAACTACTAAAGTGCTGATCTCACATGACACTTCAAGTCAACTGATTGCATTGTCTACTGTGCTCTGCCTAATAGTAGGACTGGCCCTCTATAAAGATTTATATTAAGGGGATGCGGATGGTGCGGACAACACCAGGTGATATCCAAAATGGGGTGACCACTGTGCTCAGTGTGGGATAGCAATCTGAGCACAAAGGCTTGGCAAAGGCCAGCCTTCACAGAGTGACCAAATATCCTCCTTTTCCACAGCATGTCCTATGTTTCAGCCTTCTGTCCAGGATGAATCCCCAAATGTCTTCCATTTTGAGGATAACTTTGGGCCTCGGCAGACGACTAATAGAGTCGTCTTCGAGGCCCTGAAGAGGAGGGGCAGCCGCACAAGCGGCACCCCTTCCTCTTCCTGAGGTCGCCCTCGGAGTCGCTGGCCCTCCGCACGGCCGGCGCTCCGTGGATGACCTCACGCCGCAGCGACCACATGCGCTGCGGCGGAAGAGTCAGGGAAAGTGCGCCCGCCGCTTTTAGGGTGCACTTTCCCTGACATCTAAAAGGAGCGCCAATTTGGAGCTCCTTTTAGAGTCGCTGGAGGAGCGCAGCGGTGTGGAGGCTGAGCTCCGCCGGCGCTCCGTCTGGCGGCATCTCCGGGGCCTCCGTCTGCTGAGGCCCTAAGAAACTCATTGAGCAGCACCACATTTGTTGTCCCCCTTCAAGAAATGCATGTACTTGGCAGCCTGTCCTCGCTGCAAATAGGGAGAGAAGACAGAACCTTCTAAAGTTCTTTTTTCCTAGGTGCAGCAGACAAGACTCGCACTCAGAGCTCAGAGTACATTGGTTTCTCCAAGGGGAAAAGTAAAACAAACACATTAGGCAATGGGCTGCCTGAGATCACAATGCAAATGTTGAAAGGGGTTCCCCCACTTAATTCCAGCACTATGGAAAGGAATAATTTAAATGGAGTTTCAGTCATGGATTTGTTGGTAGTAAAGAACCAACATTCATCATTTGTTTTGCTTAGAGTTAAGTAAGTATATTGCAAGCCAAGAAGACTTTTTAACAATCAGAAAAATACGGTTGAGTACATAATAAAATACAGTATACTTTGGAGACCAGGGTTGATTTCCAGTCCAGCCATGAGGATGACCAGATGTCCTAACCGCAAAGAAGTACAATAAAGCACCACAAATTGTAGGACATTCACAAAAAATGTGAATTTGTGAATTTGTGAATTTATTTGGACATGACCAAATAAAAGCTAAAAGCACTCATATAAATGTAAACATACGCACACGTGTAATATTGTCATACATTCTGCAAAGTGTAGTTTGTAAAGTGTAAAACTTTATTGAATGAATTCATGTTGGGGTTGGTGTCTTAGGTGGCTCTTTGGTCATGTCCTCCGTTTGTCTTGGATGCCCTCCATTTTATGGTGCCTTGTCCTCCTTTGCGGTTAGGACACCTGTTCACCTTGATACACACACGCACACATGTAATACTGTTGTAAATATAAAACCTTAACAAATGAATTCCTATTTAGACTGGTGTTTTGGGGCTCTCTTTGGTCATGTCCTCCTCCATTTTGTGGCACATTTTGTGCATTTTTAGGATCTTTTCTAGTTCTTTTATAGCTGCCTTCCCCATTCCTAATCTTCTTCTGATTTCCTGGCTGCAGACCCCATTCCTATCAACGTTTGATTCCAAGTATGAGAACTCTTTTACTATTTCTATTTCTAATTTGAATTTGTGTAAGTTCTCTGTGGTCACTATTTTCGCTTTCTTTCTGTTCAACAGTAAGCCTGCCTTTGCACTTCCTTCCTTGATCTTCCTTAGTAGTTGTTTGAGGTCTGTGAGGTTTTGAGCTAGTATTATGTAATACACATGTAATAGTGCTGTAAATATAACACTGCCATAAAACCTTATTGTACGAATTCCTATTGAGACTGGTATTTTGGGTGTCTCTTTGGTCACATCCACCTCCATTTTGTGGTGCCTCTGGCCCACTTTATCGGGAAGGCCGGCTGCTCTCTCTGATAAGGGATAACCCCCTCAGGCCAAAGGATTGGTAAAGATTGGCCATCCTGTTTTCTCAGCTTACAGCCTGGGGGAAGCCATAGCCCTCAACCTGCAGGACTTTGAGGAGGCGTTTGGGCCGGTCTCCCTGCCTTTCCCTTTCCTCCTCCCTCAAACCCTCCCTTGGCCTTCTTCTTCTCCCCTGCCTCGCCGGAGCCCAGTTTGGACGGTGGCCATCATGGCGCTGGGTGGTGTGAGGGTGCTGGAAATGGCGGGCCTGGCGCCTGCCCCACTCTGCGGCCTCATCCTTGCTGACTTTGGGGCAGAGGTGGTGCGGGTGGACCGCACTCCCCGGGTGCCGGCCATTGTGGCTGACGTCCAGGGCCGCGGGAAGCGCTCGCTGGCAATGGACCTGAGGCGCCCTGAGGGTGCTGCTGCTTTCAAGCGCTTGTGCCAAAAGGCCGACGTCCTCATTGAACCCTTCAGACCAGGTGCGTCCCATTGCCGGTAGGACCTTGTGCTATGAGCCCATCTGCACTTCAGAAATAATCCAGTTTGATGCCGCTTTAACTGCCAGGGCTTAATGTGACGGGATTCTGGGAAGTGCACTTTGTTGTGGCACCAGAGCTCCTAAGTAGAGCATAATCTGATTTTAAAGGTAAAGGTAAAGGTACTCCAGGGGTAGGCAACCTTTCCCCTTTAAGGGCCGAAGGACTTCAGCTCCCAGAATCCCAGGAGCTATTGGCTAACATGGGACTATTGGCCAACATGGCTGAGGCTTCTGGGAGCTGAAGTCCCTCGGCCATTAAAGGGGAAAGGTTGCCTACCCCTGAGGTACTCCCTTGACATGAATGTCTAGTTGTAACCGAATGTAGAGGCTGATGATGCTTGTCTCCATTACTAAGCCAAAGAGCCAGCATTGTCTGAGGACTGCTCTGGTGGCCATGTGGCCAGAGTAATTGCACCAAATGCTGTTTACCTTCCCACCAAAGTGGTGCCTATTTATCTACTTGCATTTGCATGCTTTTGAACTGCTAGGTTGGCAGAAGCTGGGACTAGTGGGATGCAGCACTGATTTTAGCATGCTTTTAACTTACACTGTATTTATTCAACAAAAAATTAATGTCTCAACAGGCCATGCAGATTTGAACAGAAATGTCAGATTAAGGAGAAAATTGTGCTTAATGTTTTTAGCTATTAAAGTCAAAGAAATTGAGGGTTTTAAGTGGACCTTACGGTATTTTATTAGTGTATTTGTCTCTAGGAGGATTTGGACTAGGATCAAGAAATGAAGCCGCTCCGGTTCCACAACAAACTATACTTCCCAGAATTCCATCGCATTGGCTGCATACGCACTGCAGAGATAATCCAATTTGGCACCACCTCAGTGCCATGGAATTCTGGGAATGATAGTTTTGTGAGACATTTAACCTTCTCTGTCAGAGAGCTCTGGTGCCACAATAAATGACAAATCCCAGCATTACATAGCATTGGTTGCATACGCACTACAGCACACTGCAGAAATAATCCAGTTTGAGACC